TGAGAATCTGTGGAGGGAGCTAAAGATTAGGGGCTAACACTTTTCATAAAGATGACATAACATCTGTCATGAACATGAAAAAGTCTTTATGAATGTTTATGACAGTTGTCATGAAGTGTCTTTTGGTAAATAATGACACTTTTAATGCAAATTTGCTCTAAAAGTTGCATTGAAAGTCCATTAAAAGTCTCGGCTTTGAATGATTTTGAAAATTATGATAATTTAATGCAAAGTTGGCATTTTTAATGGACTTTCAACGCAACCTTTAGAGCAACTTTGCATTAAAAGTGTCATTATTTACCAAAAGACACTTTATGACAACTGTCAAACATTCATAAAGACTTTTTCATGTTCATGACAGGTGTTATGTCATGTTTATGAAAAATGTCATGTCAGTCTTATGCACACCCCTTCAGGTAAAGTGTTACTGATTAGGGTGATGGGAAGCAGGTCTTCCAACCTCAAAGCCGTCAGCAAAGATAAGTTCACCCATCTGAAACAAAAGTTTCAGTTGAATTCAGTGATTTTTAAATCAAAATCTGGGATGGTTTTTGAACATTTTTTGTCTTAATTTTACATTTTTGAAGAGACTGGTTATTTGATAGCATAATTTTTTGACACAAGTGATTCCTTCACTTCTTCACCAGTGATCTGGCAAAGGCTCTTTTAGCCTTGATGAGCTGTGAGGTCGCCGAGTGTAAAAAACTGCTGATTGCATTAAAACTCTGGAAGAGTCGGCCGTTTTCACAGTCTCTATGACTCCGCCAGAGTGGACAGAGAGAAATTATCACCATAGTTTCTCAAAATAGGGATTTACTTTCATTCTCACTCGTTTAGATTTTATAGATGAATTAAAACTGTTACTCTCCGTGGGAGAGCAGGAAAAGGGAGGAGGACGTGAAATTGTTTAAAGTGACTTTCCTTTTCCATTTGTGCAGATGATGTCATGTATATTCTGCAAAGTGCTGTCATCTTCTTTAAAGTGGTCTTGTTTATAGATTCATTATTGTGTGAAATGCCTTTTAAATGCTGCTTTGGTCTAAATGGCTGTAATTTTTACAGGTTTTATAAGTAGTTTAAAGAGTCTGTAGATAAAACAGAGCACAGAGTCAGCACAACTTGACTTCATTGTCTTAAATTTTATAGTGGAACGTAATCTTAAAAATATATTAAATCTCATTATTCAGTTAAAATTACTTGTATGCCAAGGGCAGATGTTGAATTTGAGAGTGTGTGTGTTTTTTTTTTTTTTTTTTTTTGTTTTCCAATGAATCTTGAGGTCTTTTCTTGGCAGCCACTCTTTGTTTAAGCTTGATTCTGTTTAGGCAGTGTTAGGGGAGGAGAGGAAGACCATTGATTTCCCTCACACTTACACACATGCGTGCACACCCACACACACATGGGTTTAATTTTTCACATAAGCTGAAAGGGAAAGTAAGATTTGCATCTAAAATTGTGCTACTGAGCAGGAGAAAAAAAAACCCACCCGTCTGCACAAAAAGGTTGCTGTGTGTGCATTTACGGCAAATATGCCCACATTTCTGGATATATTTTAAATTAAGTCCAAACGATTTGCTTTGGAAGTTCTAAGACCGGAGCTATTTGTGAAGTAAATACTGTCTGCTGAAAGCTGAGATAGGAGAATAGAGAGGGAACCAAGTGGCCTGTTTTGCTGTTAGAGTTGCAAAAGATCTGGGAAGGAGTTGGTACACGAGAAGGTGATGTATGAGTTCACATCCAGGCCACTTTTGCTCCATGAAGTAAAACTTTTTGCCCTTGTTTACATCAGACTTCACAGCTTAGGTGACTGGTAAATCAACCAGCTCTTTTGTGAAGCCAGCAGTGCTGCAGGTTGCCTAAACCCCTCTTACAGAATACCCCAGCCTTCAGCAGGTGGTATTTTTTCCTTTTACAATCTGTGGGATGCATCTCTTTTCTGTCAGAGTCAGAAGCATCTTTTACTTGCTCTAATGTTCAGAAACATTACATTTAAATGTCAAAAAATTGAATAGTGGCCGTTTTAAGATCAGATTTTTCTTTAAAGGGAGACATGTACAGAAAAAAAAGGATGAAATCATGATCATTTCATTTTTATTTTGAAATATCACAACTTAGCTTAGCACATATTGGCATTGACTATGTGTTGTACTTATGTTTAATCAATTGTTCTGATCTTTAAATGAGTCGGTTTACAGTAGTGTCATGTGGCATCAAACTACCAAATAGCTTATTTTGTTTCTTGTTTTTGTCCTCATAGCTTTTTGACTTAGAAGCAGCATCCTGACTGTGGCTTTTCCTTTATGCAGCCAGATGTTCTTAACATTTAGTTGTGTTTCTTTATTGCTTGCATCTGCTGGACTTGACAGCTGTAATTGGGTCTTTATGTATTTAGTGCAGTCTCCTCTGTGAGTCCAGTGTTGAAATGAAATAAATGGTGTGTACAGAAAATTAAACTAAAGGGATTGCTTTGCAAGTTCCCTCATTGTGTATGGTTTCTTCTTGTTTTAAACAATGAAGACATTTCCAGGTAAGACCTTGGGCCATTTTTGTCCAGGTTGGCTAAAGTATCATATAACCCAAGGTCATTCTGACCCAAGACCTCCAGCTCTGTTTCAAAGCCCAACTCGCACTGCGGCAACAAAGGGGGAAGACAGAAACAATACATACATCACGTCAGCACTCCACATTCCCATAAATACTAACTCCAGACAGATAGATGCTGCAAACGATGTCACATGGGAGACATATTTAGTCGAGACAAACCAGATGTTTTATCTCATCTGTGCGTGTGTGTGTGTGTGTGTGTGTGTGCGTGCGTGCGCGCGCGCGCGTGCGTGCGTGTGTGTGAGTGTTCTGCTCCCTTGCAGAAGGAGAGGTGATCTCTGGAGCTTGGGGCTCTGCATGTCACCTCTGCTGCTGCTGCATAAAGGACGGCCGTGATAGATTACAGTCCTCTCACCACGGGGATCTCGTATTTACATGATTTATACCACAAAGGGCCACTAAGACCAAACGTTTGCTGTAAACGTGCAACTTTTCTCCTGTAACTCTTAATAAAGAAACTATCTTCACTTTACACTGCGTCTCAATGTGACCGTACATCTAACTGATGATACGATCTCTGGAATAACATAACTGTGATGATTAATGCTCTCCTGGTGATTAGAGTATGAGGTTAAAATGCCAAATTCAGCATGATTCATAATCTAATGAATTGTTTCATTTAGTTTATTTAGGTTCATAGTGGTGTCAGCATTTCAACATTCTTGTAGTGATATATCCTCATTAGTTTTTAACACTAAAATGGCTTTTGGTTTTTAAGACATTAATCACACATTTTGAAGTTTTACCGGTTATGACGTAAGTGTTTCCTGACACGTTTTTCTGTTGCATGTTTTTAAAAAGAAACGCACACAAAAAACAGAACTTCTAAATAAATATTTGATGTTGTGAAATGCTGGACTATGATGGCATTTATTTTTCACAGATTAAAATCATGCATTAAGTTAAAATCAGAGAAAAAGTTGAAAAGGTGGCAGATAGAGGAGAGAAGATTTTAAAAACAAGCTGACTGTGCATTAGTTAAGATTCCTTTCTTGCTTCAGCTGCTGTCACACAGTTTCTCATCTTGCCAGAAACACACAGGCCTAAACATGACACTCACTGGCCACTTTATTATGGACACCTTTCAGCCTCTCTCTGTTTGGTGCAAAATTTCTGATTCTTGTGGCACTTTTTTCAAAAAGATACACATTCGCATCAAAAGCTTGATGCTCTATCGTTTGATAAGGTGTCTAGTGTGCACTGATTGTATCCCAATGGTATAAAACAAACAAGAAACACAATGAAATCATGTCATCAAAACCTGGGGAAAGAAAAGTGTTTCCATTTGCTTTTTAAAAACTTCCAGAGTTGGAAACAGGGAAACTGTTCCTGAAACGCTCCGTCTCCTTTGGTTTTTCACCTGCTGCGTACGTGGAGCAACAAAAAGATTGAGAGTTTGAGAACGAAGGCCACAAGCTGGAAACTAATCTATTCCATCCCGACTTCTTTATCTCTGACCTCTTAGTTGTTTGTTGAATTTAAGTCTTTTGTTTTACTCAGGGCTGGAAACTTTGGTGAGCTATTAAAATTTGTCCTACTCATTAGTGCCTTTCTCTCCCAGACCAGACTTTTAGAAAGAAGAAAATAGATTTCTATTCCCGGAAGTTTCCGCAACTTAATTTGCATATTGGTTCTACTTAAGTGTCCACTCTGCAGTTTTGTCCTAAAGTTTTCCACGTCTTCAATCAGCCGATTCTCATCCATGTGCATGTGAGGGGAGTGAATGATGGCTTTTGACAAAAAAAAAAAAAACTGTGTGAATACCAGCAGGGGGGGGGTCCGAAGGGGAGCCTGTGTTCTTTTACAATGCATTGCTGAGATAAGAGCTGCATCCACCACGTCAGCCCCTGACGGAGCCCCCGCGGGGCCGGTCGACCACTGCTGACCTGAAAACTGTGATCACACAGTCTGTTTTATTAGCTAAAAGGATAAGGCGTGATTGATGGCCCGGCATTGTTTGGCTGTTGTTTGGGCTGAGCTGCTGAGATGGTTCTGCGAGATTCAGATCTCCTCTGATCTGCCCCCATCCTCCTGCACGGCAGCCTCTCCTCTGTATGTGTGCATGCTTTCATCGCTGCGCGCAAGTATTCGCACAGCAGTCAGCTCTGTCAGTGGGCATGTGGTGCTCAAGAGCCTTTCAGAGATAAGGCCCTCATTCTGCCGAGGTGGAAGAAAAGTGCAGGTTGAAGTGAAGGGAAACACCATCATCTTCCCCACATTTCATCTGTGCTCTTATCTTTAATCCCTTTTCGTTCCCCAACAGTTTTCTCATCTGTCTGTCTCTGTGATTTGCTGCAGAGGCAATTAACTGCAGGTTTGGGGGAATTAATGCGTCCACGATATCTCTCCTCTTAGCATGCGAGTGGCTGAGAACAAACGTCACTGCAGTCCATCACCTGGCAGCGACTCTCGCTTGGCACCGAGGCACAGGCAGAGTTGGACCTGAACTAATGCGAACGCCGGGCTCCTGACAGTTTTCCTGCACTGAATCGTTCAGTGCCCCATCCCTCCTCTGCCAAAAAAAAGAGCACAAATCCAAATCCCTTACATCTTGCTCTACAGTTCGGAGCATAACTCATTCCACACTTAGTAAATCTGTCCTGGAAGCATAAGGTACCCTCGTGTAAATCAGCGGTTCTTAAAGCTCGGGTCTGTTTTCTACCTTAAAGCTTTGTTCTCACTTTATCCGTCGCTGCTGGTTCCTACCTCAGGATCACACCTAAGACGTCGTGCCTTGCACTAGTATACAGGCCACTTGAACTTTTTTCGCATTTTGTCACATTATGATCACAAAATTCATTACTACTTATTTGAATTTTATGCAATGGAGAGACCAACTCACTGCAATGTAGACTTGTGGAGTGAAGGGAAAGGGCAGATGGGTTTAAAAATGTTTATTTCCTATAAAAATCTGAAAAGTTTGATGCGTTTGTGTTAAACTCCCCGTAGGCAGTATTTTGTACAACAGCCTTTTGCTTCAGTTGCAGATGTGATTGTTTTTGGGATTTGTCTCTCCCAGCTTTTCATGGTTTGTAGGAAACAAAAACGGCATTAATATTGAGTTTCTTTAAGCAATGGTTTTCCTCTAAGATTTGTAAAGTGCACGACATATAATTTAACCCTGCTTTAAACTTTTAGTTAAAAATGTACTGTCGTAAGACTCTCTCCACATTCCTTCCTTTATATTTGGATTCGTAGTTGCTACATTTTCTTTATGGGTATCAGAGTAAAAAAGGGATGCATTAAATGCACACCACACTTTTTCAGACTTTCTCTTTGTAATATAATTTTAAAAACCATGCCGATTTTTTTTCCATTTCACACTTATGCTCCACTTTGTGTTGACCTTTCCCATAAAATCCACTAAAAACACACCAGTTTGTGGACGTGTCGTTACCAAAAACTCTAATGGTATTAACCTTTTTGCAAGTTGCAGAAGAACAACATGAAAACTTGATCATATAAAAAACAGACTGCTTATCTGTAGTTCATGAAACCTTTTTAGCGGAAAGCGTCAGTCATTCATCTTGTTTTATGCCTGCTTTTTCGGTAAATTGTAGTGAAACGTCAGCTGTCTCCTGTGTGTGTGTGTGTGTGTGTGTGTGTGTGTGTGTGTTTTTGTCGACTGCGGCACTCGGCTCCGGATGGCCCTCTTTGGCTTATCGGCCCTTTGTAGAGCACGCACACTTATCTCCAATGGTGCGAAATGCAAACAAACCACAGTCCCCGGCGTGAGTGCATAAGGGCCCATTTTATTTGAATCTGTCAAGAGGAAGCAGACATGAGACAGAACCACATGTTGGGAGTTAACGCTGCCCAGATCAGAGGAGCTGTGGCTGTGTTTTGATACAAGGGCGTGGGGCTTGGACCCGCTCCAGATAGAGCGAAGAGAACGAGCGCTTGCCGATGCAGAAAGACACCTGTTAGAGACGGTTCACGAGGCGAACAAACAAGCTCCGTGGGTAATAAACCTCCACTTTGTGCTGAAGGAACGAAGAGCAGAGATGGAGCGTCAAGATAAATCAGCCTTTTGTCCGTGTTTACCAAGCTGTGATTATGTTTGTCTGTGTGGTGCTGAAGTCCTCTGGAGGACAGTTTTTCTTTTACTATTTTTCTTTTTTTTGTTTGTTTGTTTGTTTCCTGGTAGTTACTGAAACATGCCTCATGCTGCTGTGTGTCATCAGGACTGAGATGCTGCAGAACGGTTCGACTATAAATAGATGAGCTTTTAAAATTCCAACAAGCTGTAATTAGTCTCATCTTTTGGTCCACTGCGTATCTGCTCCTGCTGTGGGTTTAGTCTCAGAATACGCCACGAGCACAGACACACTAAATCCCTTTTAATAGTTAAACATGTTTGAGGACAAAGCCGGTTTATTTTCGGTGTGCCCTGAGGCCCTCCCGAACGTTAGTCTTTTTAATTCCTTCTGTTGTATTCCTGGGCTGTTTACTATCCCTCTGTGCGACGGTCTCGCCCGGAGCTGTTTTCCTAATTTAAAAAGATTTACAGATTATATTGTTGCAAAAAAAAAGAAGAAAACAGACTTCCTCCGCTTTGTTTTTGTTGTCCTTCATAGGTTCAGGCAAACGTCCTGTTTTCTTTTCTCCTGGGGCAAAGGTCATGCGTTGAGTGGATCTTTTTGGGTGTTCGAAGGTCGCTGCCGATCAAACGGCACGTCTGTTTTGGCTGTCTTGTCTTGTTGGATGTATGTTTAGCCAGTTGGGCTGGAAAAAGTCCAAACTGCCTTTCACTTTATCATATTTTATCTGTTTTCATGGTGAAAACTCTTCATTCTGTTCTTTGCTCGTGCATTCAAACCCATTAATTTCACTTATTGTGATGCTACAATAATGGACCAAAACAAAGTCTTGACGACTGTGACACGGGGTGTATAGTTTTAACTATACTATAACTATCTTTGCAAATAAAAATAAAGTGTGGCATGTGTGTATAGGGCTCTTTACTCTGTTACCATAAAATAAAATCCATGTGTTTGATTGGACCACATGATAAATACAGCTATTCTTTGAAGACCTCAGTGGCTTGATTAGTGAACAAACAACGTCATGAAGCCCAGGAGCCACAGCAGACAGATCAGAGGGAAAGATGTGGAGAAGTCCGAAGCAGAAATGGATTACAGAACAAAACCCCAAACTTTCAACATCTCACAGATTACCACTTAATCCAGCATGTGAAAGTGGAGAGGGTACAAAGATATGGCGGTCTGCCTAAATTTGCCGACCACACAAGTGGAGCATTAATCAGAGAAGCAACAAAGACGTCAGTGATAGGGAGGAGCTGCAGAGATACGCTGCTCAGGTGGGAAAATCTGTTTGATAAGTTAGCAATTAGTCTTTTAGGCAACAAACCTTTGCACCAGTTATGGAAGAGTGGCAAGAAAAAAATGAGTGTATATATAAAAATAATAAAAACATTTGATGGAAGCTGTGTGGGGAACACACTTAACTGAAATTGAATATTTTAGCAAACACGCAACATTTTCTACGTCGAATGACACAAACACGTCACCATTTGCACCTTGAAATATGGAGGCAGCATCATGTTGTAGAGAGCGGGAAGACGGTCGGACCTGATGTGGAGATAATTAAAACTACCGTATTTTCCGCACTATAAGGCGCACCTAAAAACCTTCAATTTCCTCAAAAGCCGACAGTGCGCCTTATATATGGACCAATATTGAGCCACAACAGATCTAGCAACTATGGTCAGCAGCCGCCGACTTCATTTTCACCCGTAGAAGAAGAAGCGCGCGGTGCATGCTGGGATAGTTGTCAGAACGCTGGTTTGTTAATAAAGTTTGACTGACCTATCTACCTACCGACCGTCTAGAATCAGGTCGTCTGCAGGTCATTTAGCACCACGTTCTACAAGAACAGGCTGTGCGCGACCGGAGAAGAGTGACCATCGTCCGGCCACGCCCCGGCCCAGTCGCGGAAGGCTCTCCTCGCCAACTGGAGTCGGACTGTTTTGTTGACATTCCGTTTAGTGCAGCTCCATCTAGTGGATGCATAATGTAACTCCAGCCTCTACTGTAGCGTCTATTTTATGCGCATTATAATGCGGTGCGCCTTATATATGAAAAAAGTTTTAAAATAGGCCATTCATTGAAGGATCGCGTTATAATCCCGTACGCCTTACAGTGCGGAAAATACGGTACATACAGGACTACGTGGGCAAAACAAAGCAGGCAAGGAATTTAGACCTTGAACAGCAGTCCTAAATACACAGTCCTATGTAGAATGAAATGGTTTAATCAAACTATGTTAATGTGCTAGAATATACTTGTCAAAGTGTAGATGTATATCTTATTCTGCACAGACACAGTTGCTCTCCTGCCAGTATGACTGAGCTTGACCTGCTTTGGAAAGAAGAATGGGCAAAGATTTTAGTCTCTTGATGTGAAAGTTTGACGAAACAACAAGACTTGCTGCTGTAGCTGAATGGTGGTCTTTGTATTTGATTCAGAAGGGCCAAATACAGAGACTGGTCTGTCGAATAAAAGGCATTGAAGTGTGTGGTTGTAGTGTAATTAAATGGGGGCTGGGGCGAGTTCAAAAATATGAATACTTCTGCAAAACTGTGAACCAAACCCAAAGGAGAGAAACGATTAAAATCTCCCATCTGTTTGTGTAACCTCACTGAGCCGAGGTGCCGCATATCGCCTTCACTGCTTTGGTTTAAGTTTTTACTCCTACATCAATCAGTGCAGGGCCAGTTAGCGCTCAGATGGATTAACGCAACATGAACCTCCAGCCAGGTGTGTGCGTCCTGCTTCGCCCGCTCATATTTTCGGCTGAGGTCTTGGATTTCACTTCAAGTCTACCTAAAAACTGACTGTCGGTCCCCCAGACATCCCCAGGAACCCACAAAGCTCACCCAGCTTTGATCCCACCCTGCGGGGCTCGCTGGAAGTAAGTGGGGTCTAATCTCCAAAAAGCCATAGAAGAATGCTTGGCGCACAGTGCACCATTCACCCAGGGATTAGACGGAGAGGAGCTCGGCTTCACGCAGTCATCGACTCCCTTGTTCTTTTGGAGTATTTATACACGTGGATTCGTTTGATTGCTGCGCTCGTATTCTGACTTTTGGACCAAATTCTGATTTCAGCCCCAGTGAGACTCTGGAACATGGGTCAGATTTGGCACCGATCAGAGCTGACGGGTCTAAATGACGTCTCTTTCATTTGGATCTCCTAGAAAATGATTTGTTGTCAAACTTATATGTGTGGCGTGAGGAATGAGCAGTTTCTTTCTGAAAACCTTTAAATAATGTCTTTGGGTTTTAAGCTAAGCTGCATTGAGCTGTTTTGCTGTTTACAAGTCAGTCTACAGGATGAATATTTTTTTAAATGAAGATTTAATAAAAAATAGATCTCTGTATGTTGATTTAGAATATGTTTCAAATCAACACAAAGACGAACACTTCAGGAAAAAATGCCAACAAACTGAAGAGATCAATCACTAAAATCAAGAATGAAATTTATGAGTGCAAATACCTTGGTAAACTGAGACAAAACTAACTTAGAAGTAACTTTTCAACAACATACAGGAGCTTTGTTAAATAATTCCTTAATATTGATGAAAAAGTTCTAGTTGCACCGGCAGATTATTTCGCTTGTAATGTGGGAAAAAATGTTTTGTTACAAGTGAAATATCAGTTTGCTTTGACTAAACCTCACGCAGAGAGAGGTTCAAGTTCACATTCGCTACAATAAAACCAGACCACAATGTATTTAAACCAGTAAGATGTAAAAGCACTTAAACAATCAGAGCTTTTTATTATGGCTTAAGAGTCATATATGATGAATCCTGTTACAGAGATCCAGACAAGCTTGCATCATGTTAGGGCTTTATTTTTAATTCCTTTTTATGTAAATAGATGTCTTTATCCTCCAACAGCTTTAGGAACATCTGCAGTCCACAAATTAGCGGCAGCAAAATCCACATCTGGTGTGATCCCAGTACCACTCCCCTGAACACATTTTTTTGATATTCTACTGCTTCTAGAAGGAGAGAGCTAAACGCTGTCTTTAATTATAGCTGCAGTCTCTCTGCTCCAGTGGGATTGTGTGCATCTCCAAGCAATCGTGAGTACAAAGGCGCTGTCTTGTCAGCACGTCGAAAGTCTCGACTAATGGTGCACGATATAAGGAGAACATGATATTGTTATATTATTAAATATTGATGAGAACGTCACGATTCTCTCTGAGCTTCATGGTCTTTGTCGCAAAAATCTACATCAGGTCAACGAAAAGAGTTTCCAAATACGTCGATAGGAAACCGGTTTCATGCACGGCACCTATTGCAACAATGACTTTATTCCATTTAAATTGTGGCCCCTGTAGTATCAAGGTAATAAATGTGTTATGCAGAGTTCAGTGGTCACTCTCTGGCCAGCCAGTTATATAATGCATGCATTTGCATTATGCTGCTCATTGTGAGGTTCGTGCAGTAGCAGCATGCACAAGAACCATCAATCCTTCACAGAACCTGGAGCTCGGAGGTCATGATGTTGATCCTGGCACTCTGCCGCCACTCTGAGATCTTTCACATCTGTGACTGCGAGGCAGAGAGACGGATCATCAGTCGGTGCGATCACCTGACCCAATAAATTACGTTTTTATTTCTTTGCTGCTACTTTTAAATGATTTTAGTGAGGACTCTGTGCTTCAATTTCTTCTTATCTCGCATTCACAAGGTTTTCATTTGAGGCAAGATGAGCAAAATCTAGGTGAGAGGTTTTAAGAGCCCGCTGTTGAGTCACATCTTCCTGTGTGTATTAAACCTTAAGCAAATCCAAAACAGAGGATGTCTTTCAACAACCTGCAGGTTTGATGCTTAGAAACAGCTGGGTTTGTTTTCACTGACCAGACGCCATGTCTGCTTCGCATTAATGCAGGAATCAATCTGCTGTCGGGGAATCTTTTTGTGGTTCCTAATACTAAAGGTTCATTAAAGACAATATGATACAAGGCAATAACCTACGTGTATAGCAAAAAGTTTCATTTTATTTTTCTTTTCTTGCTTCGAACAAGATCAAAATGTCCTAGTCTGGCAAGAAAACACAAATGACTCCTTCACGGAATTGAAGATGAAAGTCTAGCAGCCCAACCTGAAACCGATGGAGCTGGCGTCAAATTCTCCTCCAGCCTGAACTGATTCCAGACATCTTGTCGCTGTCTATTATTTAAGCCGACTCCCATAAGCGTTTAGTTTGAAACGACGAAAGTTACAAAAACATCAGGGATACAAACTTTCAAGAAATAACTTTTCTCTCTCTGTCTTTTGTAGATAAACTGTCTCTGGTTAAAAGACTTACTGATCTCTACATGGACAGTGATGTGATTTCTTCTATTTTTTTCTTTTTTTTTCACACTTCAATTATGTATATAATCAAATGTAGGAAATTAACCTTCTGGTTTATCTCAGAGGCAGTCATAGATTTGTCTATGGCGAACTATGAGTGTCCAGATCCAGTCCTCAAAGGCCGTTGTCCTGCCAGTCTTAGATACATCAGATGATTTAAAAGGCTCAACTACATCCTCAGCATGTTAATGCTCTGCAGAGGCCTTTATTGAACCATCATTTGATTCGGGTGGAAAGAACTGAAACCTGCAGGATGCCGTCTCTCCAGGACTGACTTTGGAGATCACCATTAAAGGTGCAAAACCAGAAAACGGCATGTTGACACCATGGCAAAAAGAAACATACTCTGCCCTGACCCATTAGGATGCTGCACGTTTAGTACCATTCACCCCAAGACACACACAGTTAGATAATAAAACACATGGCAAGATAAGAAACGTAACGATCGTAACTTTTGTAGATTTTCACAAACGTGTACCCATCGACTAAGGCTTTGGTTCTAAAAATATATATCCTTTAATAAGTCCATCAGCAACGAAATCATCACCCAGCGCAATTCATTTCACCAGCGGATTAAAATAAAACATGTTCATGCTTGACCCTCAACTCTCTGGGGAGTTTTTGTTTCTGCACGCTGCTTATGTTGGCAGACAGATATATTTACAATGAGGAGATGATCGCATGCTCTCACAGATTCCTCTGCATCTCTCTCAAGTGTGAAGCAGGGAAACATCCGGGCAGTCTTGGATTCTTCTGACTGCTGCATCTTAACATGTCCGGTGGGACAAGCCCTCAGAGCTTCGCTGGATACCTTCACCGCAACTTTATCCGGTCTTAGTAGGGCTAAACCGGGGATCAAATCATTTGTTATGGTTGGGGAAGTGGACAAAAGATACTCGCTGAAAGACGCTGAATCTTAAGGATAACTAAAACAGAAGTGATGACAGATTTGGACCTCTTCTTGCCGCACATGTGCTCTGCAGTCAGTTCATTTGTAGCCCTGGAGACAGAGGCAGGTTTACGGTTTGCTATTGAAGCAGGACATCATCCAGAAGGGGAGCTGACCCAGCTTTCAGTTTAAAAGTTGCTTTTTTGGCTCAGGATGGATGAGTTTAGTTACCAGTACAGTCGGTGTTTTTTAACTGGAGTGTTGTATTTGGTTGTCATGGATTTCTTTTCTGCAGGGGACTCCGTTGTTTCTGTTATTTACGCAGGTAATAACGGTGAAAATACACGGGCTATTAAAGGTCTCACTTAGCAAGCGTTTACCTTTTTATGCTCTCACATACAAATCACACCGCAGTGGGGAAATTACATTTGGTCGACGTGGCAACATGCTTTTTCAGACCAAACTTGAATAAACAAGCTGTGTGCTGGACTTAACTTGTCCGTACTGAGAGAAAACTCTTGACTCACTCAGCACCAGCGCTTGACATGGGGCAGAGTGTTTAGATAAAAGTTTGTAAACTGGCCTTCTCGCTGCTTGGCTGCAGCTCAGTCTGGGAGCCCGAATGTGTGTAAACTCCTGTTTGGGTAATCGGAGTGAGACGTCTGCTTGCCAGGATTTTTACAGGATGTTTTCGCAGAGGCCAGTGGCGTATAAGCTCTACATGATGTTCTGCTGTTACCGTCATTGCAGTTGGTCAGTTCCACATCTTTCACTGTTTAGTCTTTTCAGCCGTTTGTTTAGATGCTTTAGTCTCGGTGACTCTATTTGAGTAATTTCTCAGCTTCCTGGATCTAGAGAGCTTCAGCGTTCGCAATGAATGAACGTGTTATCTTGAATTGTTGATAAATAATATTAAAGACTTTTGAGCCACTTCTACAATATCGAGTATTACAGCAATACGCTCAGTGTTGGAACGGAGATGGAAAAATGTCTCCACTTTATGAGAGACATGGCTAATGCTAAGCTACTTAAGCTTAGCATTAGCCACGCTAATGTGAATATGTCTATCAAAAATTACTGCATTCATCAGCATGCGAAGTAGATGTTGCTGAATTTGCTGCCTTAAAGGAAAAATAACTTATTTCTGCTAAATGCTGCATAAGCAGTCATGGACAGTTTTAGACGGGGGCCCTTAGGGGCCAGTACCCCGTTTGGGTTCTAAAGAGATAATACAATATCTATTTTATATCACAGAAATTGTAACTCAATGATCCCTCAGACGAATTAAATTTTTTATCTTCACAGTTTTACTTAAAAAAAAAAAGAATTAGAAATCAAGGTTTTGCACTTTTAGCTTCAACCTTGTTGAGACAGAATCACAGTTTTCATCTGCTAGATCAGAGATCTGCAACCCCTGAGAGTTTCACCGCTTCTGCCGTGATTTGTTGAGGCAGCAGCGTCAGAGCCAGGGGCCTCTTATGAACCAGCCGATAAACAAGGCTGGTTCTGTTCTGGATAATAATAAATTATTATTATTATTATTATTATTATTATTATTATTATTATTATTAATAATAATAAAGCCCTTTTAATTCAAAAGAAAAATCAACGTAACCAGAAGAGATTTTGATTATGCTCGCGTTTGGTGCGGCCAAAATGAGGAAGAGAAAACCTGCGTTGTTGGAGCACGGTTTTATTTACTGCTCGGATAAAAACAAACAGATGTACTTTCTGTGGAGGAGTTATTTGCGTTTCCTCGGAATCAAGCAGTCAAGCAAGAAAGAAACAAAAAGAAAGGAGGTTAATCTGCAGAAAGGAAGCGAAATCAATCCCAGGCCTAACTTTGTTACAAAATCAGTGGCAGTAACAAAATACACAGATTTTGTAGATTTCTAACCCTTGATGGAAACGGTAAATGCAAATTACAGTTGAGCCTCCTTGCTGAAACAAAAACACACATGCAGAGGGGTTCATGGGAGTTTAGCCCCCCGGTCCGTACGTGTGTTTATGGGTGTAGAAAAGCCTTATGTTTCCCTCTTTGTGAGACGATGGGTTACCTGTGTAGGTTTTGAGGAACTGTCTCTATTTTCTCTGCACAAAGCCAAGCTTCCTAACACTCACTAAAGAGTTCCAAAGAGTTAAACAAAAAGCAATCCAACGTCATCATCAGTCACTTGGCAACAAATGGCAAACTAGCTAGAGCATTTCTACGGATTACGTTAACATGTTTTGAATTTATGTTGTTTCATCATTAGTGACCAGTAGCCTGTTTCTGTTCTTCTCTTGGTTTGTTGTACTTCATGTCAGACGGACTTCAAAATGACAGAGTCGCTCTTTGTGGTGATGAAACTTGTTAGCTCCGCTGTTGCAGGCATGTCCATGTTGTAAAGTTAAATTATCATGAGCTTTATTATTTGGGCCTGGTCATTAGACCAGGCCCAAATAATAAAGCTCATGATAATTTAACTTTACAACAGATGGATTTCAAAATGACATTTTGATGCCCCGCCCCCCGGCCCACGCCGTCTTGTTCCGCTACTGCGTCACATGTTTGCCTGAGGAGCGGAGGCAGCAGTATGGCGTCTTGTCTGGAGTTTATTATAGCAAAGTAAGTTCCATGTTAAAATGATCATGTTTTTGACTATTTTTTTATGGAGGCATTAATTTTCCGTTTACGCAAGAGTATCGATTCATATACATAGTTCGCTTAACGTACGTTTATTTGTTTGGATATCACGGTATATACGACTGTTTATTATCTTAACCAAAAATCGAAACTGTCAGGAAAATCTGGAGGCCATTTGAGTTAACATTATTTAGCTGCGGGGTCATTTTCTTTAAGTTTTTGGCTGTAGACTGCAAAATGGGGGACTGGTTGTGCTGGACCATTGGCTTGATCTATGCCACAGGTGTCAAACTCCAGTCCTGGAAGGCCACTGTCCTGCAACATTTAGATGTACTGCTACTGCACCACATTTGAATACAATAATTAGGTGATTAGCAGGACTCTGGAGAACATATCTACACAATGAGGAGGCAATTAAGCCATTTGACTCTGGTATTTTGTACCTGTGGCACATCTAAAAACTGCCAAAATGTTTTATCTTTGTTAGTGTGTCATGTTGGTGACTGAAGCCTGTTACGATGACTTCAACACATTTCTTCAGACAGGTTGGCACGACTTTTAATGCTGTCCAATAATTTTCCTATAAGCTGACTAATTTCTTTAGTAATTATTTCTGACTGTTTTATGCTTTATTTTGTAAACCAGGTGGGCAGAGTAATTTGAATGAATGTGACGGTGACACACACACACTGATTAGTTTTGTTCACACTTCTTTTTAAAATATTTATTTATTATCCTAATGTTTCTGCTATATTTCTTATTTTTCTTTCCAGGCTGGAAGTCTTCCTCCTTCATGTTGGCAAAAACAAGAGCAGCACCAAAGACACTTCAGCATCAGTGATCACAAGACCATCCATTGCCGCTTCCAATGAACTTTCAAAGCACACTTCACCTTCAGTGCAAAGTACCATGAATGTATGACCTTTGTTGTATATTGCTGTTGGTGCTGTTTGATGTTTTGAAATAAAAGTGATTATATACTGCAACTGGTGCTGGTGTTTTTATATCATCTAATGCAGCATCTAATGTCTTTTAAAATGAATTTGGGGATTATTGATGGCCAATAGTTTCTGGGGAAAAAAATATTTTAATTGCTCTAGTGGCTTTTATTTGGTAGTAAATTGACAAAAAAAAGTGGGTAATGAGAGCAGGGGAAGACCAGGAAGCGAACCCACCACAGCCACATTGAAAACTAGAGCCTCCATATGTTAACCCCTGTGCCACCACAGCACACCCTGCCAGTACTATTTCAAAACTCAGATTTCTATGTTAATATATACTTTACACCGTTCTGTGTTCTGTGTTACATTAGCACGTTCATAGTGTTAACTTTTGACAATATACATTAGTTGTTGGGTAGATTAACACTGAAGTGTATTTGATTTCAACTACTGTGAGTGTTGATTCAACTCTATCACAAATGACACTTTCAAAAGTGTAACTTCTACACCAGTGGACGAATATAGACACTTTCAAAGTTTTGAATTTAACTCTGTAGGAGTTGATGGAACACTTCCAAATTTGCTGTGTATCTGTGGCAGATGATTTGATTCTAGTTGCTTCAAGCTATGAACTTCTAGCACATAGTTAAGCCAAATATAAATCTGGAGATGAGTCTCTGCCTCAAGCAAAGGAGTTAAAGTATCCTGTTCAGCAGCGATGGATCGGGAGATTTCTAGCCCAACCGGGACTTCGTCTGCAGCAACGCCTATGACGCTGCTTCCGTGTTTCGTTGTGAAAAACGAGCTGAGCCAAAAAAGGCATAGCTCTCAAACTTACCGGTCCATCTGGATAATTATCAAAAGAACAAGATCCCAGACAGGAATGTCTAAAATGAGCTCCCTCCATAATGAGGCTGGAACTACAGAGGGACTCGAACTGTTGATCCAAAGCGGTCAGTAGAGGCGGTTCAGACATCTTGCATCCCAGTAAGTGTGAAGAGACTCCTGAGCAGACTCAGGGTTTGCGTCCAGGAACCTCCTGGGATCCACCAAAATGAAGTTTGCTGGAAAGACACGACTTTGCCTTACGAAGCTGTTGCTCCCGTGAACTAATATGGAAAAGTGGACGACAATAAGACGGATGAATGGGTGTTTCAAAACGGCCTGTGAAATTTCATTTTTAATTAGGGTTCTTTTTTTTAACTGTAACTGTTATTTTTAATGATTACCATTAGAGTAGAAATAGGTTCAGGCTGAGGCTAAGTGGTTTGTATAAATGAATATCTGACTGATGAATGACACCTTCACGCAGCATCTGCGCCAACATGCACCGTCGGTGTATGGATAGTTTTAACAAGTAGGACTTTTTGCTTTTGTGCCCTGTTTTATGTCCCAAGAAAGAAAAGATGCAACATTTGGATGTTTCTGGATGAGAAGCCAGATGACTGTCACCAAGGGATTGTACAGGAGGAGCCTCTGAGGTGCTGTGCCATTTTTAATAGAAGTGAGGAGTGTCAGCCTCTGTGTTTGTGCAGCCCGCCCTGACCAGATTGTTTGTCAAATCCGCGTGCTGCAGTTTGACAGCGCCCACCACTAATTTTAGCCACGCTACACAAACCGCAGCAATGTTTGCTTTCATGCCAGAGTTTGAACCGCTTCCATTTTAACAATGCATCTAAGGGTTGAGGTTTTTTTTTTTCCTTTCTTTTTCTTTTTTTAATAACGTATGGACAACATGAAGGTTTTTTTAATCATTTCCATTTTTTTTTTTTTTGCTCTATGGTGTAAAAATATTTTTGACTCTTTCTGAACCTAAAGCCCCTCTTCTTCAATTTCTGCAACATCTTGCTACAAACAGAGACCCAACAGAAGAAGCAGATCAATTCTGACCAGTAATTAGAGTTGAAGGTGGAGAGTGCTTCTCAAACAAAGCTCAATTTGCCTGTAATTACTAACTAGAAGTGCCCTTCAGGTATTTCAGACTGTCTGGTCCTGCTGTCTGTTGTGTAGATTGCTAACATTTTTTTTTTCCATGGTGAAACTTGCTGGGGAATCTAATAAGCAGGAAGCACTGTTGCACTGTTGTGTAATTACATCCTAGCTCCTGCACGGGAGGGCCGGTCAGACTGAGACGCCCGTCACTGACATCAGCATCACCGAAGGAATGCGTTGGAAAAACAGAGAGAGTGGAGAAAGAGTGAGTGAGGGAAAAGGTGAGGTAGAGTCAGCTCGATGGAGAGGAGGGAGGAAAGGCTGGAGACCCTCCTTTTTCCTGTGGAAGATTAGAGGCTGTGTGTGTGTGAGCACACCTGGATGGGCTGCAAAGACTGATGTAAGCACTGCAGAGCAGACGGTCGGAAAGTGAACACCAGCATGTACAGTTAGTCGGTTTTATTTACTTTGGGTGCAGATGTTTTGAAACTCTGCAAGCGATGTGCACAACCAAAGATTTTAGAGTTGAACTATCTTATTTATATAATTTTTTATGCAACATAAGACACCATGTAACATTCAGCTTAACCACCAGACTGCTTTTTCCTATTTCAGTTTCAGTTGTCAAAGAGGGGCTACTAAAATATTTAAACAGTTTGAATTTAGGCAAAAGCTCTGCATTTGGTTTTTTGAATTCAATTTATCTACAAGAAAAGGCAAAAAATTTCTTGTTTTTGACTTGTGACATAAGCAAATCAAAAAAGTGTAGAAAAAGCGAATGTAAATTTAGAAAGCTGACAATATTTATAGTGAGTAAGAAGATGAATCTTCTGAAGTAAATTGATTCAGTTGGAAAACAGGCTAAAAAATGGCTGTACATTTTACAGACACTTGACGTATTGATCAGATGTTCATCATGTATGCAGCAAACACTTTGGGACTTTTAATGATTTATTTGAACTCTGGGAAAATAATGACCACACTTTTTAAAAGAAAAATGTCTGCAGAAGTTTAAATTCACAGTGGATTTATTTTCTGATCCACACAAGGTGAGAAACCTACGATCTCAAATGTGTACAGAAGAAGGAAAAAAAAAAAAAACACTTTTATTGTCGTGAATATCCTACTGACATTATTATGGTTGAATATTTGAGCATGTTTCTTGGCAGAATTGGCAGATAACTAGTTACTTCTCTGGCCGGGACCCAGTTTTAATGCAGATTTCATTCACAAAGCTCATTGTTGTTTGGCTTTAGCTACTCCAAAACCAGTTCGATCTGCGTTGTCCTTTTCAAATAATCAGCTTTGTCCATATTTCAACCGTCAACCTCTTAATTTAGTGGTCTTTTGTGTCATTTAATTCACCCTCTTTGTGAAATGCATCAACACCACTGACAGCAAAACAGACCCATAGCATGATGTGGCCACCACCATGCTTGTTAGTTGGCTTAGTGTAGAAAGCCTTATTGTGACGTCGACAAACAGACTTCTTGCCAAATAGCTCAACACTCGCCTGGTGTGATCGTAGCTTTTTCCTCCTGAAGGACGTTTTGGTTTGTCCATGTAAGAAGGACCAAATCTTAGCTTGAATTTGGCGATTTTGGAGCAGTTGCTTTTTTTATTCTTCAACACCTTATCAATCCACGACAATGTTCACATTGCTTCACTGTGATCAGCGACATCTTCCAGTTTATAAAAAGAATCTTCATCCTACTTCTCTTTAATTTGCTGCTGAACATCCTAAACAAATTCCTTTCATATGTGGATGAAAGTAGCGTTCATATGGTGACGTCTCGGATGAGAAATGTCCTAACGAGCCTCTCCAAAGCCCGTTGAAAACATGTTCCTCTAACATTTAGCTTGTCTAACCAGGTCTAACCGTTAAACTAGTGAACCAGGGTAGCTAAATGTTTA